GCACAGCGCGGTGTCGGAGCCGGTAGCCTGCTGTCAGAGGCCCATAAAGGGCCGGGCTCCGCACTGATGTCTCTGCCCTGGGGAAGAACGAGCCCATTGCAGTGTGGGGGTGAGAGATCAAAGAGCCGGGCTGTTCTCTTCCTGACCAGGCACAACCCCCAGGAACAATTCCTGACTGGACAACGTGTGAACAGTTCCACACGCACCCTAACCACCGTGCTGAGCATCAGGAAGATACAAAGATTATTTGTTTGACATCAGCAGTTAGAGACCCGGTGCCTCCGATTGACGCTTAGCAGGAAATGGTGAGACCCAGATTCTGGGCTGCACAGGGTGGGGGTGGCAAAGGCGGCTTTGTGCTGGGTTTGTCCTGGGGCTGGCAGGGCCCCAGATGCTGTTTGTATTTAGGGCAACGTCTCACATCCCAGAATAGCCAGAGTACAGAGCACTCCACCCACTCTCCATCCTCCCCGGTCACTGGGGATTGAGTCAGAGCAGTGTGGGGCTAATGTGCCGACCCTTTGCTCCAGGGGAATTCCCAGCAGGGGAATCCAGTTACTTTCCAGCCCCTTTAATGTGACAGGAGCAGCATTGCCAACCCAAGTGTTCAAAAATCATGAGGCAGGATCCCCAAAGCCATGAGACTGACTTTAAAATAACAACTGTGAGGATGTTTAACATGTTTTCTGGGGTTGTAGCTTTTAGGGGGTCACATTGACAAGTTTTTTCTCAGCAACCAAGAGGGCTAGAATCTTATGAAAGACGAGAGTCTGTTGTAATCACCTGACTCCAGGAGCTGGGGCGTTAAGAAAAACACCAAATAGCATGAGACTCTCAATAACATTGTGGAGTTGCAACAGAGGGTCCTGTGGCACCTTTGAGACTAACAGAAGTATTGGGAGCATAAGCTTTCGTGGGTAAGAACCTCACTTCTTCAGATGCAAGACTGATTGTGGAGTTGGTAAGAATGCCAGAGTGCTATAGGTCTGGAATGCAGCTGAGAATCAGAACCAGAAGCTGCTAAATAATAGAGTCGGTTGAAAATCACAATTTCCATCAGATTGGAAATTCTGCTATTTTGACATTTTTCTATCCTGATTCAGGTCAAGAAGTTGTCACGTGCAAACTTGTCACTGAGTTGGGGATGTCATTTCTTGGGGTAGAATTCCCAGCCTGCACCACCTGTCCAGCGCCCTGTGCAGGTAGTAGAGAGCTCAGAGATGGTATGTAATGTATATATGCTTTAATTTTTTTAACTAAGAATTTCCTGATGCGCTATAAAGGTCCCTCTGACCACTGGATCCGCCTCCGGAGGGAACTGGACCAGCCAGTGGCACCACATTCAACAACTGGTGGGTCCCTTTTGCTTCTATTAACTCAGTAAATGTTGCAGTTTTCATTTAAAACAGGACACTGGCCTTGTGGTTACCGCCCGGGGCTCTGATTTGAGAAGTTGGGGCGCAGTGCCTGGCTCTCCCGTAGATTTGCCCTGTGACCTGGGGTGAATTGCTCGGGGCTGGATTTTCACTGCTACTAGAAGTTGCTCTAACAGTTGTGGAGTTTTTTAATTTATTATTTATTTGTTGTTGTTGCAGGTTTCCAATAGCGGGAGAAGGACCGTGGGTTTTTCTGAACCACAAGGCTATAGCCAGTTCAGGCTGCTCCAGGGACGGACGCTGGATCTGCAGCAAAGCAGTGGAGAAACCAGAAGCCAGAGCAAAGTGCCTGTACCCTGGATGCAGCAGGCGTTGGTCCTTTAACGGGGCCGTCCCTAGCACCCATTGGCCCATTTGGGGGGATTTAACCTGGGGCCACATAACGTGGTGTCTCCTTTGGCTCCTTTCCAGCAATCCCACCCTACCCACCCTGAATCGGGAGTGGGAACCTGGTCTGTTGGATGCTTCAGGTCTACCCCACTGGGGGTCAGGCAGGAATTTTTTCTCCTATGTGACCATTTAGTGAGGCCCAGGGAGTGTCTTCAGCTTCCTCGCAGCCCCTTCAAGCCCTAGTAAGGGCTGAGTTACTTCCTTGAGTTCTTCATTCGTTGTAACCTGTGTCCAGTGCGGTTAAAGGGATCAAGTGACCGGTTCCCAGAGGGAAAAGACCTGGGATTTTGCTGATGGGCCTTGGGCTCACGGGACGGGGTGAGACTCCGTGGCCCTCCCAGGCTGAGGGCAGCCCCTTGTAGGTTTAATAACATTTGGAGCCTGGCACTTAAAATCCACCCATGGGCCTGTGCTTACCTGGCTGCTGTGTCCTCGTCAATGTTCCTTTTCCTGCCCACATGCAGCTACCCCCGGCCTGAGTGAACCCCTTGTAACGGAGCCAACACCCCAATAACAAGCGGACAGAGGGAACATACAATGGCCATAAGACAGCACAGGCAGCTGCCACGTTGTTCACAAGCAGCCTGGTGTGACAGGCGGCAGCCAGGCCTGCTGGGAGAGGAAAGGGGTATAAAAGCCCAGGCTCTGTCTCTGGCACAGACACAGGAACCTTTTGACTTGGAAACCGGAAGCGGAGCAGCCAAATCCGCAGTGTCCCTCCTGTCAGAGACCCCGGGCAGGAGCCGGAGAAGGGCTGGGGCTAGACACCAGGGATGTGCCAGGGGCCGTCAGGAGGTGCTGTGGCCCCTGCAGCCACGGAGTGAAAGGGCCGGGGTGAACCCTGCAGCCTGGGGGAAGGACTCGAACTCCTGCTGTAAGGCGAGAAGGGCTGGTTTGCAGACCCTGCTGAGCGCTGGGGGAGCGTGAAGAGAAGTCGCGGACAGGAGGGGATGGCTGGAACGTGCTAGGATAGACAGGTGTAGATATAGAGAACATTATTTTTTATAATATAATAAAATTATTTATATAAAAAAATAAACCAGCTCCCAGCCGAGAAACTTTTATTTTGAAACCCTTAAATCCTCATGTGAACGGCTCCTCCCACCCCAGCAGGGAAACTGAGGCAGCAGCTGCATCCTCCCACCAGGGCTGTGAGCGCCCCTCCCACCAAGGACTAATGAACCAAGGACAGTCTGTGTCTCTCTCCTTTTTCTGCCCGATCCTCCTCACCTTTCCCTCTGCCTGCCGGGGGGGATGTTCTCTAGGGGAAGGGCTTTTCCCTGGACTCTGCCAATAAAGGACAGGGCTCAGCCTGATGTCTCGTCCTGGGGAAGGAACGTGTCTGTCATGAGCACAGTGGAGGGAGAGAGAGAGAGAGAGAAAGAGAGAGTGTGTGTGTGTGTGTGTGTGTGATATCAAACAGCCGGGCTGGTCTCTTTCTGGCCATACACAATCCCCAGGAACCCTAAGCATCAGGTATGACGTCAACAGTTAGAGGCTCCAACTGAGATCAGGGCCCCGTTGTGCCGGGCGCTGCACAGACACACAGGGAGAGACAGTTCCTGTCCCAGCTGAGATCTGGACTATATTGTGGTTCCTTCACCATCTGACAGGACAGACAAAAGGTGAGAGAGGAAACTGAGGCACAGATTGGGCAAGTGACTTGTCTAAAGTCAGATCCAGGGTTCTGGCTGCTCTGTGACCCATCAACAAACACTCAGCTTCCGCACGGTTTAATAGAAACCTTTAATGTCCCCATGATCATGATGATCCCTGGCTCCAATCTCGAGCATCTGTAGATCTCAAAGTGCTTCACACAGGAAGGTCAATATCAATGTCCCCATTTCACAGATGGGGAAACTGAAGCCCAAAGGCTATGTTTACACGGCAGTTAGAACCTGCGCCTGGCTCATGCCACCTACCTTGGGCTCGAGCGGAGGAGCTGTTTCACTGCAGTGGAGATGCTGGGGGTCTGGTTGGGGCCACATTGTCCCCCCCTTGTGACAGCACCTTCAGCATGTTGCATTTATCCAGCCCCATGACCAACCCCTGAACAGGCCAGCGCTCCCCAGCCCTATCTCTTCTGCAGATGGGACACGCTGTGTCCTGTTGCACTCACAAGCCCAGTTGTCTCAGGGGCGGCTCCTAAAGACACTTGGGTCTGTTTGGAAGGTCGCTTCTCAGCCTGGCCAGCCGCCCGACCTCCAGCTTCGCCAGTCCATCTCCTCCTGGGCTGCCGGGCCACGGGGTAACAGGGCGTTTGCTAGCCCCCAGCCCTCCCCATGGTGCTCCCTGCACTGCCACCGAGCACCCCAACCCGGCTCCTCCGACAGAGACAGTGACACCGACCCCAGAGAGCGTCAAATAATGCACAGGGAAAGGTTCCATTTGGGATCGGGGTTGGGAGCACTGATCTCCTTAAAGTGCTCTAAGGAGGTAGCAAGCGGACAGCACATCCACACAGACACCTCTGCAGCTGAGAGCCCCTCGTTAGTGACAGGAGTTAACGATCCGTTAGGGCAGGATGGGCAGAAATGCGTCAGGTCACAGGCTGGACGGGAGCAGTGGACGGGCCAGGGAAGGGAGCTGAGAGGGACCTGGCAGAGAGGTGAAAGGAAATTAATCAGGGGTGAAATACAGGGAAAAGCCCAGATCCCCAGCTGGTGTCAGTCAGTTCTGCTCCATTGGACACTGGATCTGTACTGAGTTACGTGACCTGGGGCAGACTCTTCTCTCCCAGTCCTGGGGGGGTGAGGGATAAATTTCCCCCTGGCTGTGCAGAGCCTGATACCTACGGCCCAAGCCCGGCCCCTGCAGCGCTCTCCAGCCCCTGCTGGAATATACGAAGCCAGAGCTTGGAATCGCTATTCTATAGGCTGAAGTAGGACTGGGAGCCAGGACTCCTGGGTTCTATTCCCAGAGCTGGGAGGGGCTGGGAGCCAGGACTCCTGGGTTCTTCCCAGAGCTGGGAAGGGCTGGGAGCCAGGACTCCTGGGTTCTATTTCCAGTGCTGGGAGAAGGGGAGGGGCTGGGAGCCAGGACTCCTGGGTTCCATTTCCTACTTTGCCACCAATTCTCAGTGTAATTTGGGCAGGTCAGTGTCTGTGTATCGGTTTCCCCACACGTGACATGGGGCTAACAGTGCCGCGCTCTGAGGTCTCCCCCGTACCCTGCTCAGAGCTGGAGGGCATCTTGCTGGCAAATCCACTGAAATCCAGCGTCGCAGTTGTCAGAACGAATCCGATTTTCCTTCACTGCCCCACAGCGGTTCCCCTCAGCCGGGCCTGGTGCCTGGAACCTGCAGGACAAAGGAGAGGGCCCTTGGCAGCGCGCGTGGGTCCATCACACGCAATTGGTAGCGGCTCTTCCCTGTTCTAACGGGGACCGCAGCCATCGTCTCCTCCAGCTCTGCCCTGGGGGCTGCCCCCTCTCCCCACTGTCAGGGCCCTGGCCAGGGTCTCGAACGGCCTCTCCCTGCCCAGAGCCCAGGGACCTGCTCCAGCCTCATCCTCCCTGCTGGGCTAGGCCCTGTCCATCTCCCTCCCCTGCTCCGCGTCTCCTCCCCACCGGGCTGGGCCGACGCTGCCCCCTCCTGGTCCCCTCCTGCCTCTCTGGCTGCTCTGTGTCTCCCCCTCCCCCCTGCCCCATTGTCTGGGGGATCCCCAGGGCTCTGGCCTGGCCCCTTTGCTCTTCTCACGCCACATCCCGTCTTTGGGCCACCTCCCCCACCCCAGACCTCCAGCTTCACCTCCTCGGCGGGGAAGGGCAGGGAGGAGAGGGCGTCTTTGTGGTCACCTTACACTGAAAATGACTTCCCAAAACTCCTGACCTTCCCCCAAACATCCCCTCCCTCCATCTCTGTTCCCGGCCCCTTCTGCCCATGGAGGGGAGGGAAAGTGTTTGACTCAAGGAATCACTCACAGGGTCTGATCCAGCCGGGCGCCGTCCAGCCAGGTCCAGGCCTTCTCCGGGGAGGGGACGGACAGTCCGACCCAGAACTGAGACACGTCTCGTGTCAGGTCCTGTAGGGACTCCTGCAGGAAATGTGGGACAGGCAGCTGGTGACCAGAACCTGCTGTCGGTTCTTTTCTTGCAAATCCAAGTTCTCAACAACTTTAGCACCAGAACTACTGTCTGGCTGTTCATCTATCCCTATACACACCTATCCATCCTCACACATACCTGTCTATCTCTCCAACTATTCCCCATCTATACTCTTCTGTCCATCCATCCCCACACCTACCCCCCTCTCTCTGTAGCCCTCAATCTTCATAACTCTCTCTCTCTCTCTCCCTCCCTCTCTCTCTCTCTCTCACACACACACACACACACACACACACACAGCCCTCTCTCCAGCTGACTTGTGTTGGGAACATCTCAGAAGGGGGAAGGTACCGGTAGCTTTAAGCCGCCATTGTGTGTCCCTGATCTCAGGGCTGGTGATTTAGGCTGGGATTTGTCAAAGCTGCCTAGGGGGTTTGGACACCCTGTTATTAACAATTAATGGGAATGGGGTGTCCAAGTCCTTTAGGTAGCATTGACAATCCTAGACCTACCATGTAGCCTATATGCCCTCGGACTCTGTACCCAGGGCCCAGTCCTGTGGGGGCAGCTCCAGCAGGAAGGTATCATCCCCTTTACCAGCTCCTCCCGGTCCCGGATCACCAGCAGCTGGGAGCCCCTCGCTGAGCAGTCGGCTCGGCTTTCGCTCCACGTTTTACTTCCTCCAGAGACCCAGTAGCACTTGTCCCCGCGCAGCCGCCAGTCCGTGGGGCAGAGTTTGCACCCAGAGCCCCCTGCAGAGAGACAGGCGTCATTAATGCTCTGAGCCCTCTGGGCCTCGTTCCCGGCTACTCCCGTCCTGAGACTGGGGCAGGAACAGGGTTCAAATGGGTTTGAGTCCCCTTTGTGCTCCCTGAAATCTGGGGCTGGGCTGGACCCTGCCTGGCTCCTGGCGTCAGTTACAGCAGCCTTGCAGCTGCTCTGCCTTATCCATTGCTCCCATCTGGGCCCTGGGGAGCAGAGAACACCCATAGTGCACTGCGCTCTAGCCACACACGCCAATCTGCTCCCTACTTTGGGGGTTGGGAACAAGGTGTGTGAGGGGCTCTTACCCCAGCTCCACACAGGCAGGGAGGTCTCCAGGGCAGAGGGCATCTCATGGGGCTATTTGCATCCATTTTAAGGGTACATTATTCTGCCAGAGTGGCCTAGAAGGGGCTTCGGACAACTGAAGATGTGTTGGGGGCTGGTTCGTGGCAATCTAACAGGATATGGGAGGGGAGGTGGTAACTGGGGAGAACAGGAGAGGAGGTGGGATCCCAGGGATGGCTGGGAATGGGAGGGGGTGAGTCCATGAGACCGTCTCTCTGCTGGGATCTGTCCCTGCTCTGCAAACATTTGGCCATCCAGGTATTACATTATTGTAAGACTCCCCCTTTAGCAGTACCGGGCATGGCCACTAGATGTCGCCCCCCCCCCACACAGTCTCAGCAGAGGCCCCAGGCCCAGTCCCAGCTGAGGCAGGTACATTCATAGCCTGGCACCGAGCGGGGCTGGTGGCTAGATCGGTGCAGCCAGCAGGGGGCGGCGTGTCCCTGCCCCGCAGGATCCCCAGGGGCTGGGACGGCAGCTGGGCTTCCACTGGCAGTGCCCGGGGCAAAGGGCGGCTCAGAGACACACGAGCTGGGGTTACCTGCTGGGCCGGGCTGGGCCGGGTGGCACAGATGTTGGCTCAGCTGGGATCGGAAACGCTCCAGGCGGGCGCTGCATTCTGCTGTGCTGGGGTCTGCGCTCCCAGGGGGTGTTGGTGTATCTCTGCTCCCGGCTCCATCGCTCCCAGAGGCTGCCGGGCTCTGTCCCTTCTCAGACATGAAGTGGGAAACTGCAAAGCAGCGTCGGTGGGAGTGAGGTGACGGGTCAATGTGACGGGGAGTTGCTGGGTAAAAGCACCGGCAGAGACAGAGGGCCTGGCCCAAAGCCCGTTCAGCCCCATCTCCACTGACTCCCGTGGGCTTCAGAACAGCCCTAAAGGGCCACAGTCCAAAAGAGCGGCTTGGGATTGAAAATCAGTGGCAGTTGGGTGCCTAAATCCCTTGGGCCTCTTTGCAAAACTAGCTCATCTTTGCATCTAAGTTATCCAGCCCCCATCAAAGCAGTATCAGAACCTCAGAGTCTTTGCTAGATTCTCCTCCCAACCCCACTCTGTGAGGCAGGACACAGGGCTGTTAACCCCTGTTATTCAAGGGGTTTAGGCACTTAAAGCTGCAGAGGGGCCATGAGTGGGGTTTTCAGAAGCACCTAGGCCCAGATCCTCAACAGGATTTAGGTACCTACCTCCCTTGGGTGTTGGGCACCTAAATACTTTTGAGAACCTGGGCCCTAGGAGCCCAATTCCCATTGACTTCAATAGGCGTTAGGCACCTAGTGGGTTGGTTTTAGGCGCCTAGATGCATTGTTAGGTACCTAAACCCCTGTAGACTTCCAGCCTTAAGGGACCAGCCCAGGGTCACTCGGGGAATCAGTGGCAGAACCAGGAACTGGTCCCAGAGCTACTGTGTCCCAGATAAGCACCAAAACCAGTGGGCAGCCTTCCTCTCGGGATGTCTGTGAGCTCCCGCCCAGTCCCCCATCCTGCAGCGAACAGCCAGCTCCGTCTGACATGTCAGCCCGGCGATGGGAACACGACATTCAGGGGAAACATTCCCAGCCACATTCTAGGGACGTCCTTTCTCCATTTATCCACCAGCTACATTTCCTCACTATTACGGGTTGAGGACAGTTGTCTGGGCAGCGCCTGCCACAACAGGGCCCTGATCTCAGCTGGGGCAGGGACTGTCTCTCGCTGTGTGTCTGTGCAGTGCCCGGCACAACGGGGCCCTGATCTCAGCTGGGGCAGGGAGTGTTACGGTGTGTCTGGGCAGTGCCCAGGATAATGGGGTCCTGATCTCAGGTGGGTTACTAGTGCAGGGTTGATAAAACTTTTCACTGACTTAGCTGACCTTTGAAGCTGAATCGCCCCCTCACTGCCCAGACACAGCTCCTGTCCTCATTTTACTTCCTCTCCTACACCACAAAGAGAAACCATCAGAGTCTCCCCTGCCACCCAAGTAAACAAGGTGACAAACAGGGACAGAGCAGCAAACGGCATTTTCTGCCCAGAGCCCAACTAGCTCCTTACAGCCCAGCACAGAAACATTCTAGGCTGCAAATAGGCCATAGACCCTTGGACCAGCCTCTGTTATTGTTATTATATCTATTGCTGTGGAGCCTAGAGGCCCAGCTGTGCCCAGACACAGAGTGAGAGACAGTCCCTGCCCCAGCTGAGATCAGGCCCTGTTGTGCCGGGTGCTGCACAGACACACAGCGAGAGACAGGCCCTGCCCCAGCTGAGATCAGGGCCCCGTTGTGCCGGGTGCTGCCCAGACACCCAGGGAGAGACAGTCCCTGCCTCAAAGAACTTGCAATCTACTTAGACAAAGGAGGCATGATCTCCATTTTGTAGATGGGGAAACTGAGGCCAGAGCACTGGCCCACAGTCACACAGGGAGTCTATGGCAGAGCCAGGAATTGATGCTAGAGCTAAGCGCGGGTTGCAGCCGAATGGAGGATATTTAATGTCAGTATGACGGTGGTGCCCTAAATTCCTTAAGGGCGTCTGAAAACCTCCCCATAAATAGACAAGGCAAATCATAGGCTGGGGAGGGAATAGAAACACAAAGGCAACGTGCCTTGTGCAAGGTCACCCAGCAGCTGTGGGAACAGAACCCAGGTCTGGGCCGGGCTGGGCCGGGTGGCACAGCTGGGATCGGAAACGCTCCAGGCAGGTGCTGCATTCTGCTGTGCTGGGGTCTCTGCTCCCGGCTCCGTCGCTCCCAGGCAGGGCCGGCTTTAGGACGATTCAGCCAATTCGGATGAATTGGGCCCCGCGTTAAGAGGGCCCTGTGCCGCAGCTCTCCACCTCGCCCCCAGCTCACTTCCCCCTCCTCCCCTCCCCTGAATGCTCCACCCCCTGCTCCTCCTCCTCCCCTGATTCCCGCGAACCTCTGATTCGCGGGAAGTCTGAAAAGAAGCAGGGGCGGGCAGGCAGCACCAGGTAAGCTGGGTGGCGGGGGGCGCGAGAAGGGCTCCGGGGAGGCGCGGCCCAGTCCGGCCCCGGTTCCGGCCGAGCGCGCCGGCCCCAGCGGCTCCGGCCCGGCTTGGCTCCAGCCCGGCCCCCGCGGCACGGCTCGGCTCGGGTCCGGCCCTGCCCCCGCAGCGCGGTTTGGGTCTGGCCCGGCCCAGCCCCCGTGGCGCGGCTCCGGCCCCCCGGCCCGGCCCCCGCGGCTCTGCTGGGCTCCGGCCACCGAGCAGCTCCGGGCCGGACCCAAGCCCAGTGACCCTGGCCGGAGCGCGGCTCGATTCCTGGGGGTGGGGCTTGCCAGGAATCGGGCCCCGCTCTTGCTAAAGCTGGCCCTGCTCCCAGGGGCTGCTGGGGCCTGTCCCTTCTCAGACACCAAGTGTGAAACTGAAAAGCAGCATCAGTGGGAGTGAGGGCGACTGGTCAATGTGATGGGGGGTTGCTGGTAAAAGCACCAGCACAGAGCCCTGCGGAGACACAGGGCCTGCCCCAAAGCCTGTTCAGCCCCATCGCCACTGACTCCAATGGACTTCAGAGCAGCCCCAAAGGGACATGGTCTGAGAAAGTGTCCGGGATTGAAAATCACTGGGAATTAGGTGCCTAAATCCCTTGGGCTTCTTTGCAAACCCCTCCCGTGTTTCCACCCATTCTCACCCTCAAAACACCCCCCAGAACTGGCTGCATGGGGATGGCCAGATTGAAGCAGGCCTGAGGCCCATCTAACCCGGTATCCCTTCTCCTAGGGTGGACAGCCCCAGCTATTTCTGAGCAAGGGGCAAGACACCCGCTAGTGGACAATGAGAACTTGTCCCCCAAGTCAGACCCTTCCTGCCCATCAGTTACGGGTTGATTGATGCCCTGAAGTAGGAGGGTTTATAGCCCCTGCCAAAGCACTTGGTACTTCCTGGCCCTTTGGTTGGTCTTGTTCCTCTTATATGTGTCCTGATCCTTCACTGAGCCCTGCTAAGCTCATGGCCCCAGTGAGATCCTGTGGCAGTGAGTTCCACAGGCTAATTGTGAATGAGCATCAGTTTTAAATTTGAGGCCTCTCAATGTCACTGGTCGTCCCACCCCCAGTGTCGCATCCACGCTGCAGACTGACGCACCCCGACAGATAAAGCTACAGCCTTTGGTGACTCACCACACACCGCCAGCAATATCACAGACAGGATGAGATTCCCAGCCCCTAGAGCGACTTGAAGCCAGCCAGGATACTGACGGGAACCTGCAATGAAACACAAGCAGAGCCGGGCTGAATTAAGGCCCAGCCTTAATGGGTTAGAGTAGCGGGGGCTGGGGCCCAGGACACCTGGGTTCTATCCCTGGCTCTGGGAGGGGAGTAAGGTCTGGTGGTTAGAGCAGGATGTGACTGGGAGCTCGGACTCCTCTGTTATAATCTCAACCCTGGGAGGGCAGTGGGGTCTAGTGGGTCAGAGCAGAAGGGGCTGGGAGCCACGACACCTGGGCTCTAGTGCCAGCTAAGGGAGGGGAATGGGGACTAGTGGGTATGTGAAAGATTTTTTCCCTTGTCTGTGCCTCAGTTTCCCCCATTGACTCACCTTTTTGGCTTCCAGAGGGGAAAGCTCCCCGTGAGCGCTCCCACTCTCGCTCTGTCACTTGGGGGATGCCCCACGCTCTTTACCTCTGTCCGCGGCGCTCCCCCACCCTGTGATATAACCGCACGGCCAGACTCTGCCAGCCCCTGGCCAGTCTCTGGGGGGACATGGAGCCCATAGGTGGGGAGAAGGGGGTTGAAATGGCTACCTTGGTTCCCGGCTGGGGACGGGCCATCCGATCTGCCACACTTGGGACGCAGGTTCAAAGCCGTGTAGCCCTCCTCGTCCTCCATCGTGTCCGAGTGAGAGGAGGCGGCAAAGGCGCGGGCAGGGGGTGAGGGGCTGGGCTGAGATCACACAGGAAACTGAGCCGCTGGGCTGCAGCAGCGTGGTTGGTGGGGCCGCGGTCAGAGGCTCGGGCCTGAATTTCCTCTCTCTGCTCTGGCAGATGTTGGCTCTGTCACGCGAAAGCTCCCAGCCAGCCCCGGACACCCCCAACCTCCACTCCCTG